CGGGGGGGGGGGGGGGAGCAAAAACAAGCATTATTACAGATTTCAACATGGGAAAGTGCCTTAAAGCGGAACAGCATAAGTGAACAGCAGACTTTAAGAAGGTTATCACAAGCAACATCTTGTCCACAAGTCTAAGATTCTTTTAAAACAAACTCATTGGTTGACACACAAAAGCCAATATTCCTCTTAATTTAATTCACATAGATTTCAAGTGACAAGCTCTAATTTGGGCTATGTTTGTTTCTCACTCATGATATATGGATTAATAGCTGTATATAACAGAGATAGGTGACATTTTGCCATGTCTACCCTACCATGTCCATTTAAGTTAAAAACTTTTGCAAACTATTCAGGAAATCTCAGGTACCTGATGACACCATCCACTTGGGACTGCAAATAGCCACTGTACTTGAATAAAAAATTTTAAAAAAGCATGCTCATCTGAATAGAGAGCAGGATGCCTTGGGATGTCAAGGAGCCTCTCTCAGCTCCTAGAAATAGAGAGGAGGGTCATAGCCACAAAGCCTATAGGCCAGCAAGGCAAGAGGGGCGGGTGAGAAGACCTGCCTAACCCCACACTCCCAGCTGGGATTTGATGGCAAGTTTCCCAAGTACACAGAGCATGGAGAGGATGGGAGCACCACAGTAGCTCCACAACACTTCCCAATGCTGATGTGGCAGGCTCCAGGCTTTAAAGCTGTGGTGTCCAACCAGCTCTGAAACAGTGTTCACTATGGGTAGCCCTGCTTATAGAACCATAGAGCTGGAAGAGACCTCAGAAGGTCAGCAAGTCCAGCCCCAGGGCTTTGTCAAGCTGAGACTTAAACACTGCTAGGGATGGAGACTCCACTACTTCCCTAGGGAACCCATTCCAGTGCTTCACCACTCTCCTAGGGAAATAGTTTTTCCCTAATATCCAACTTAGGCCTCTCCCATTGCAACTGAAGACCATTGCTCCTTGTTCTGCCATCTGTCACTACTGAGAACAGCCTCTCTCCATCCTCTTTGGAACCCCCCTTCAGGAAGTTGAAGGCTGCTCTCAAACCCCCCCTCACTCTTCACTTCTGCAGACTAAACAAACCCAAATTCTTCAGCCTCTCCTCATAGGTCATAAGGAGACTTGCTTGTCCTGCTGTGCGGACATAAAGTCCAAATCAACTTTGCAACGTCCGTGACGTCAATTGAGCAGCTGAAGTCGATACAACTCGACTGGGCTTTCGGAGGGTCGGCACAGCAGGGAGTAAAAGGGAGACTTCCCTTGCAGCAGGGACCACGTGGCAGACCTCAGCCCTGAGGTCCGAATAAGGGCTCTGCCTGGTGACCTCAGCAGCCCGTGTCTGCTTTAAGGAGGCTCGCGTGATCAGGAAGTCCGGGGAGCTGATCCTGGCTACAGAGCCTCAGAGAGCCCATAGGGCTTTTTTCCGTTTAGCCTGATTTTGCGCAAAATGTCTTAGCTGCCTGTCTACACTGGCCCTTTTGCGCAAAAGCATTTCCGGAAAAGGGCTTTTCTCCAAACAGGAACATCAAAGCATTTCCACAAGAAGCACTGATTTCGGACAGTAGATTGTCAGTGCTTTTGGGCAAAATCAAGCGGCCAGTGTAGACAGCTGGCAAGTTTTTGTGGGAAAACTTTCCAGTCTAGACGCAGCCCTGGCGAAAGGAGCGCTCCCACGAGCGGGAGTGAGACGGGCTCCGGCGCGACTCTGGAAAAGCGGCCGCTTTTGTGGAAAAACTTGCCAGTCTAGATGCACCCATCAAGTATGATGAAGTGGTAGTTGGAAATGAAACTTGGTCTGCTTATAAAACAAACGTATAGGGAAGTATTGGGGTAACTTATGGCAAAGAGAAAAATCAGCAAGAATATCTGTTTAAAAAAAAAGTATTCTAAGATATAATGTGCCACCCCCACAGAGGTAAAAATGTTTTTGTTTTGTTTTGTTTTTGTCTTTCAGAGCATCAGAAAGAGCTGGTACCAGCTGAAGAACAATTCAGAATAATATGGATTTATTCTCATGACAAAAATTGTGTTTTGTGTGTTGTCTCATGTCGTGTTATATGTTTGTTGTTCTGTGGTGTTTGTCTCAATGCTAGCATTATCATGTATTGTTTTAAGAAAAGAGGGGATACTGAAATAGTCAGTCATTGATTTTCCTGCTTATCAGTCTTCTTCCTACCCCTCCGCCTCCTGTCACCACCTAAAGAGCAAGGATTAGGCGGTGGCAAGGTTGTTGTAGCAAACTTGCTGGGCTTGGCAAGCTGCTAAAATTGATTCTGAAACTATGTAGGTAAAGCAGAAGTTGTAGCAGGTACGTAAAAAAAAGAAACTGTAGCAAATAAAAGAGGTGCAGACACAGGAAACTTAAATTCCTGTGAATGGTAACAGCTTAGTATGGTAATGGTTTAAGCTAGTAAAGGTAATATTTTAAAGACAAGGCAGCTAAGCAAAGTGGTATGGAACATGAATAACTCATAAACCATGAAGGTGTATTTAAAACCCTGAGAATAGTTTTATATTTTCTCTGCAGATGCTGTTAATCGTATGCCCATGGATAGTGGAAGTGTTTGATGGTCAACCACACAACAATCTGCTAATTTAAACAAGTCTAACAAAGACACGTATGTGTCTGTGATAACTGCTGGCAGAAGCATTTTGGGACATTGAGGGTTATAGCACAAAAGGTGGCACAACCCAGCACTGGTCTGAATTGCAATCCAAAGTCTGACACTACATGAAGAGGAAATAAGGTTACTCATTCTGTGCGGTAACTGTGGTTCTTCCAGATGTCTCCTTATTGCATTACTGCACACTCTTGAACACCCCATATTTACCCTTCCATGGGTTCTGGACATAACCTGCTTGTTTTAGATGCCTTACCTTTTCCCTTTAGTGGGATCTGAGTGAAAGGCACCCACCCTTACCTGTCCTGGGCTCAGGGTGAACTTTTCTATCGATTTTGTCTGATCTTCCACCATTGAAAGAGCCTTACACAGTAATATCCTTAACCTCTATTTATTAGCAGTTACCAAAACAGAATGCTCACACTAAGCACACAGTGCTTGCCACTCCCAATAAGGCAGACGCACTTTTCCTGATGGCCCATCAGGATCTCATTTTCTGGCCATTCCCACTTCTACAAGGTGATTAACAGGATGTTGACATCTGGCAGCTCTGGTCTTGTGCTATATCCTGGAGTTGGTTCCAAAGAATGTTCTTTTGGACCCTACTTTATATAGTGAAACTTGGGTCCTGCTTAGCTAGATCTTTAGACAATTGTTTTACTAACGTATTACAAAATAATTCTTTGACCTATCCTAACATGCAGTGAAACAATTCTTTACCCTATCATCTTGGTTTACACCTTGCAAAATTAGATATGTAACACAAGCAGAGAATCAGACAGAAACCATACAGATAAATAGTATACTCTGAATCCCCCGGCTGGACACCCCCCCTCAGGTGCATCCGGTTCCCAGCCCCAACTCCCCCACTTTGGCTGGATCCCCCCTTAAGCCCCAGGCCAGGCCCATCCCCGTGGGCCCCGCTGCCTCCAGGCGCTGCCCAGGGCGGAGTCCGAGACCTTCCAAAACTATTTAGCGAAACAGCCCGAAGCAGGAATTCTCCGCCTCTGACTCCCGTTTGCGCAGACTGGGGGGGTTGTGGGACTCGGGGGCGGGGAACGGGAGGACTTGGAACACGTCCAAACCTGCAAGGGGCAACAGCGCTCGTGCGGAAGGGATGTGACTTACAGTGGGGACCTCCTGTACCGTGATCCTTCCAGCCCACTGCACCCCGCCACACCCCCACCCTGACTGCACACCCCCGGGCATCGGTATCATAGAATCATAGAATAATAGGACTGGAAGGGACCTCGAGAGGTCATCGAGTCCAGCCCCCCGCCCTCAAGGCAGGACCAAGCTCCGTCTACACCATCCCTGACAGATGTCTATCTAACCTGTTCTTAAATATCTCCAGAGAGGGAGATTCCACCACCTCCCTTGGCAATTTATTCCAATATTTGACCACCCTGACAGTTAGGAATTTTTTCCTAATGTCCAATCTAAACCTCCCCTGCTGCACTTTAAGCCCATTACTCCTTGTCCTGTCCTCAGAAACCAAGAGGAACAAATTTTCGCCTTCCTCCTTGTGACACCCTTTTAGATATTTGAAAACCGCTATCATGTCCCCCCTTAATCTTCTTTTTTCCAAACTAATATGTATGCGCGTGACCGATCCGTCCTGCCACCCCCCTGGCCCTGGGGCTCTGCCTGGGAAGCCCTGACAGCTCAGCTCAATTTCCCCCTCTTGTCTGTAGTTTCTTGCAGAACACAAGTTACTGGGGCAAATAAAAAATGTGGCCAAGACTGCAAACAAGGACCAGCTAGTTACAGCTTATAACCAGCTTTTTGAAACTCAGGTGGGTACCTCCCTTTCCTGGGCCTGGGTGGGAGGAAGAGCTGCTCCTTGTTCTTCCAGCCCTTCCTTGTGCCTGAGAACGCAGATGGTCCCCATTTCCGTGCAATCCAGACTATTTGCCTGTTTGGCTGAATCATCCTATCGCTGAAGCATGTTTTTGTTTTTAAGAGTATGAAGAAAATTCTTGTTGCTTTTCATTTGTATGTGTGAAAATGGCATTCATGGACATCAAAGGACACGATCAGCTTCTCACTCACACTTGCATTACAATAGAGTGTATATGCCTGTTGTGACTCTTACACATCATTGCTAAGTGAAATTTGAGATTTTTCTGTTTGTGCTTTACATGTTTGACTGTACTCTGCATAGTTGGTACCATCATTTGTTCATGCTCCCTCCTGCCAATAAGAACAGCCACAGAGTTATAGCTGAGACGTGATGTGTGCTCTAGGGATGTGAGTGACTAATCGACTATCCAGTAAGCAAAAGCTTATCGGATAATCGACACACTAGTCAACTAGTCGCTTCCCCCGCCCCTGCCCCCCAGCTTGCTGCCTCTGTCAGAAAGAGGCAGCAAGGGGGGGAGGAAGAGAAGAGGGTGCTGGGAGGGGCAGGGGCGCAGCGGCGACGTTCCACCTTTGAAATGTCCCCGCTGGAGCTCTGGTACATTTCAAAGCGGCACCACATGGAGCCCAGCTGGCAGCACACAGAAAGCACTTGGGCCTTTGGCCTGGCGGGTCTTGCTCCATTTCAAAGCGGAAGCGGCGTTTCAAAGGGGCAGTGCCTGCACAGCTGATCCACGGCTCCTCTTGGCACTGCCCCTTGGAAATGCTGTGACAGCGTTTCAAAGGGGCAGTGCCACGGAAACACCTGCAATGAATGCATGTTAAAAAAATTAACCCGTTAATTCTGCCCTGCGTTAATACGCATTCATTGACAGCCCTAATAACTACGTGACATTTTAGCAATTACATGACTATTCGATAGTCGCATGGGATGGGGCTGGCAGCCAGTGCACTCCCGAGGAGCCCCCTGCCTCTCCATAGTGCTGCCTCTGTATCAGAGGCAGCGGCGTGGGGTAGGGCTGGGGGAGCAGGTAGCACAGCCAGCATCAGCTCCTGCCTGTCCCCTCTACCTCCTCTGTAGGAGGCAGCAGGTTGCGGGGGGGGAGCAGGCGGCTCTGTGAAGCTCCAGTCTGCTCCCCCACACCCACACTCCTGCCTCTGACACGTACCAGCTCGGTTCCAATCTGGAACCCACTAATCCCCCGTTTTTGTTTTATGATTGGAGCAGTGTTAACTGGTCACTTTCCCTTGAATGGTGTCTATGGGCATGTCTACACAACAGGGCTAAAGTCGAATTAAGCTACACAACGTCAGCCACGTCAATTGTAGCACTCTTCCTTTGACTTCCCTTACTCATAAAAGGAGGGTTACAGGAGTTGGAGTAAGAAGTCCTCCAGCTCAACATTATTCTGAAATAACGCTGCTGTGTACCCGAAGGCTACGGCTACACTGGCGTGTTCTCACACAAAAACTCTTCCAGAAGACAGCATCTGCACTGGCATGTGCTTTTGCGCAAGAGCATCTATGCCAGTGTAGACACACTCTTGCACAAGAAAGCTCTCTTGGCCATTTTAACCATAGGGCTTTCTTGCACAAGAAATTCATGATGCCTGTCTACACTGGCCTCTTGCGCAAAAACAGTTGCGCAAAAGGGCTTATTCCTGAGCGGGAGCATCAGAGTTCTGGCGCAAGAAGCCCTGACTTCATACAGTAGAACATCAGTTTACTTGTGCAAGAACACATGGCCAGTGTAGACAGGCAGCAAGTTTTTGCGCAAGAGCGTCTGCTTTTGCGCAAGATCGCGTTAGTGTAGACATAGCGTTAGGGTATAAGTTAAGTATTTACGCTAAACAATCTAGTCCCCCTTGTATTTAGTTATGAGACGCTACTGTACCCAGATCTGAAGAAGGGCTGTGTGTAGCTTGAAAGCGGCTTTATTGCCAGTGGAGGGTGGTCCAATACAAATATGACCTCACTCCTCTTGTTCTCTTCGTAGACCCTTACAACTGCAGCGACGGCAGACTTTATTGGAATCCATGATTGATTCTTCTCCAGAACTGGTCCTTAAGTATATGAAAGCTGCAAAATAAATTTTTGACAGCCTTCTGAAGGATTTTCTGTCCTATGAAGTAGATGGTAATGGTCTTTTTTTTCCTTACAGCGCTTTAAAAGCACAGAAAATACAGATAAAGTGACAGAGCAAGTAAAAAATGTCAAGGTTAATGAAGACAAGGCAAAAGAAACCAAGTCAGAAGAGATTGTTGATGAGGTATGTATCTTAGACTCTCTTAGATCAGGACTACTGCCTACGTAGTAGTATGAAACTTGGAATGATAAAAGGGAATGTGAGTAGGTGGGGTTGTGGGGTAGTTGTTAAACAGTGCAGCCTGAAACGGATGAATGAATTGAGTCCGAAATTGTTGAAGCTAAACAGGACAGTTCTTGGAACTGAAGTGGTAAGGTGGATAAACTTTCGTGAATTGGATGGCAGTGTCCAAGCAGAAAGTGCTAGTGTTACTGCAAAATGTCGTATTGGTACAATGTAACCCCTCGGCATTTTCTCTCGTTGGAATCGTCACTAACTGGATGGGGGATGTTTGAGGGCCAGAGTCCAAGTGAAGAAATTGAGCTGAGCAGCTCAACTTGTACAAACGTAAGGAGACATTAAGTGCTCTTGGCTTGCTGTCTCGCCAGAACTGGCTGCTGGGAAGTGTCTACTGGCAAGTTGTTCATGAGTTTGTATTTGTAGCTTAGTGGAGGACCCTCATCTGATTGAAAAAGTGGACCTTGATTCAATTTCTCTCCCAGCATTTCCTGCATATTTTGAGTCAGTAGCTATTCTCATGCACATTTCTCCATAGCGCGTTAAATGCCTTTGGCGTGATCTGGCATAGGTTACATTTATCTAACCCTTCCCTTGCCAAAGGATGCCAACGTACCGTGCACGTAGTATTAATTGAAAAGCATTTATGGGGGCTGTTCACCTTCGTATCTAAACAACCCAAGTGAATGGAGGTCCATTGTGTGCTTTGAGAACTTGCGATTAGTCATTGGGGTCATGGTAATTCTCTATTTCTGTTTTAATTTAGGGTCCGCCAAAATATACCAAGTCAGTTCTGAAAAAGGGGGATAAAACTAACTTTCCAAAAAAAGGAGACGTCGTTCATTGCTGGTATACGGGAAAGTTACAGGATGGGACGGTCTTCGACACCAATATTCAAACAAGTAAGGTCACGTGACTAGCAAGCTCTTGCAGGTTGAAAGAGTTCAAATGGTTTCCATTGCAGATGAGTGGAACAAATTAGCTGGAATGCTGGTCACCACATTGTCTTGTCAGACACTGTTTATATTTCTTACAAAGCTTGAATGGACTGAGTCCTCAGATTGCTTCTGCCCCTTCGTCCTGGTGAGATCGGGGTGTTCCCGCTGACAGTTCTTGGGATCATCATTCCGAGAGAGAAAGCAGGCCGTTCTCTGAGGACTCAGTAACCAGATCCCTGCATCTGCCTCGGGCCATGGATAACCTGAGGCATACTGACTTAGGCCTCTGGCTCTGCAGAAGGGCTTTTAATTAGCTATAGAGCGTGAGGGGCAGTAGCGTATTTAACTGCCCGAGCAGACGACGTGTAGTATCGATCCGTGTAGACGGGTTTTGGGGAGAAGTGTGTAACTTGCAGAGTTTATGGGGGAGGGGACAAGTGCTCAAAAGGTCCATTTGGCAGCAATGTTGCAGCTCTGTTAAAGGGACTAGATGTCATTGCAGTGGAGTGTAAGGGTCTGCTCATTGGTTTACAATCCATTTTCTACTCCAGTCAAGGGTTATAACATTGGTGCCCTGCTGATGTTACCCAGCATGTTGCAAGCCAAATACAGTCTCTTTCTGCATTTTGCATTCCACAGCTAGATGGAATCCCTCTCCCACATCCATGACACTCTGGTGCTAATGCAGCTGGTAAAGAAACGATGGGCACTTGCATCAAGACTGAATTGCCCCCACTGAGTGCTATTGAGCTGCTATTTTGAATAGTTCAATGATATGGAACGTGGAGAGATTCCTTTATCGCCCATAAACAAGCGTACATCTTGGTGCAGTAGATATTTGGGGTGCATAACCGTCGGGGTAATTCTGGTCAGAAATATTAGTGAGAGCTAGTTAAGGGTTTGACTCTGGCTGGATAAATGTATACACAAGTGTTTTGCAGGTTCAAAGAAGAAGAAAGGAGCCAAACCTTTAAGTTTCAGAGTTGGCGTAGGAAAAGTTATCAGAGGCGTAAGTAAACCCCATAAAAGTCTGATCAGAGCCTGATGGGGATTAGCCCTTGGTGTGCATCTGTTGGGTGCTGCTTTGCGTTATATGGGGAGGGGAGCGAGTTGACCGCTCTTACGCCAGTTACATGTTCCGTTTCAGTTGTCCATAAATGCACTTGAACGTCTGGGGGCCGGTCCCTTCCCCTAACTACACATGGCCAGCAGTATTAGTGGGGCGATCTTTGGCGCAGCGAGCGCTCTCGTTCCTTGACAGCGCGTAGTGCTCCTCGGCTGGGGGCAGCGTTCAGTGGAGTCCCTCTGGGTGTCCCGCCGTCGCAGCCCTGCGTGAGGTGCTTAGGAAGGGGATTCTCAGGACGCAGTGGAGCCGAGCGGGGAAGTGCCCGAGGAGAAGTGTGGAATGCAGGAGAGGGGGCCAGGGCGGAGGACCAGTTCCTCATGGGCGTGCGGGTGCCTCATCCCCACGGGTTGAGCACAGGCACTTGGCAGGCTGGAGGGAGGCACCTCTCTCGGCTTGGAATTCGCTGCGATCCCTCCCCTGGCAGCAGGGCCCACACCAGGGATGCCCCAGGCCACCCTGGAAGGGGCGGGGCCTCTGGCAGAAGGGGCGGGCCAGGGCACTTCCATACTCCCCTCCCACAGACCGTGATTGGTTTGGGGGTGGGGGGACACGTGAAGCCTTTGCCCCCATGTCCTCTCCCCCCACCCCCACCGAGAGAGAACTGCCGGCTGTTCTGAATAGCTGGTACCTCTAGGCACCCGCCCCCTTGCAGGGCAGGAGGAGACTTGGCGAGCTCCCCCGGGCCCAGTCTCTCCCCCCCCCCCCGCAAGGGGCGCGTGGTGCTGAAAGTGCGTAGCAGGAAGAGACCTCGCGCACTCCCCAGGCTCCGATTGGCCCTGATCTATGGGCCGGATCTGGCCCACGGAAGCCCCTTGCCCACCCCATGTGCTGTGCCAGCGAGACCACTCGGCAGCCCGTGGTAGCCGTAGCCCAGAGGTCATGGCACTCGTGAGATGCCAGGGTCCTGCACTGAGGCCCCTGCACTGAGTCGGAGCAGGGACTTGAGCCCCAGTCACACCACGGGGATAGCTTCTCTGTCTAAAGAATTAATATCCATTAGGCCAGAGTGGGGAGCAAGGGGCACAGTCAGCACACGGCTGGGGAGTCGGGGTTGGGTCCCCGCGCCGGTGAAGAGTCAGGTCTTTCCACAGACTGGAGCCGCACCAACAGGGCAGAGCGGCCCAGAATAGTCAGCAGCTCTCTGGAGCCATTGAGCCACGTCCCGGACCCAGATCAAGTGAGCCAGGCGAGGGCCCTCGCCCCTGAGCTGTGGGTCTTCTGATCCGGACGGGCCCCCGAATTGCTGCCTTTGCCCTGCGCGCGGCCCAGCCGGGGACGCCTCGTTTGGGAAATGCCATGGGGCTTGTCGGGCGAGGGGCGAGAGCTTGGCCCGTCGCCGGGCGCCTCTGCACTGCACCCTGTAGAGGGTTTGGTGGCAGCTGAGCGGCGGCTTTGTCCGTCTGTTCAGCCTAACGAGGCAGATGGGCACTCAGGCCCCGTGTGCACCTGGCCCTCCCCCTGCCCGGACTGACAGCAGGTGCTGGTTCCAGGCACCTGGCAGGCCAGAGCCCCTCTTTGACGCACCGTCTCCCGGGTGCAGCGCCGGGCACGTCCCCGCGCTCCGGTCATGCCGTGTTTGCTGGCCGGCTCTCTGCCGGGGTGCTGCGGCTGAAGCTCATCCAGGACTCCGGCAGGCTGATGCACGCCTTTGCAATCCAGCTCCGTCCGTGCGCAGGGCGTGGTGCTCGCACTGCCGCTAGCGCAGAAGGGTGGCCCTAAGGCTAGGTCTGTGCAGCCACTCCCCGCCCCCCCCCGTGAGTTAGCGCTCTACGGTGTCAGTGTGAACAGGCGCCGGCGCCGTCAGCTGCTCCCCTCGTGCAGGGGGTTGATCTAGTGCTGTAGCCAAAGCCTCACGCCCCTGACGCAGCTGCCTGCCCGGGAGGGCCTGGTGAAGGGGGGCAGAGGTGGATGCAGTGGGGCGGGACGTGTGATCCTCTCGGTGCAGAGCGGAGCGCCAGGCCTGCGTTTTGCCTCCATTTGCTCCGGGTAGCAGTAAGTCTTCGCGCAGGCAAGTTCCCCACCAGTGCTCTGCCCGACTGGCGCTGGTGCTGGGTGGCCGTCCTGAGACAGGGTGAGAACCCAGAATGTCACTGGGCCCAGGCCCACTCTGCAAGCGCTCACTTGTGAGAGCTGCTTGGCTCCACTTTCGTCGCTTGCTCTAGAGCAGGGTTTCCCAACCTCTGGGTCCGGACCCAAATATGGGTCAACATTACATTTCAAAAGGGTGGCCAGGTGTCTCCCCAGGTGGCTCTTAAGGAGCCATTTGCACGTTTTGAATTGCCCTGGGTCACTCAGCCTTCCTGAATTGTCAGAACGGGTCCCCATCTGGAAGAGGTTGGGAACTGCTGCTGTCGAGCGTCCATGCTTGGCTTGTGGGGACACACCTCCCACGGCTGAGACGGGACGTTGAATTTCGACTCATCAGCGAGCCCAGTCGTGGACTGCATTTCCATCCACTAGGGGGCGCTCGCTATCTCTGCTGCGCCTCTGCCTTCGAAATGCAGGAAGAGCTGCCCGCGGCTTTTGCTACGTTTCAAAGGCAGAGGCGCAGCGAGGAACCTGGTGTGAGCAGCGACTGCTTCAGTCCTTGTTCGGGCTGGGTTCCCGCTGCGCCTCTGCCTGCCTGGTCCGTCCCCCGACCTCGCTGCCTGCTGATAGAGGCAGAATAGTGGGGAGATGCGAGGAGTTGGCTCAACTACTCCCCTATGTCCCTAATAGGAACACCGCCTGTTCGTCGTGATAAGCTGGTACGGAGCTAAACTCCGAACACTAGCGGGGAGGTTTGGCATGGGGAGGACTGGGCACTGAGAGAATTAGTTGTCAAACTTCAGAAAGACCCAAACAAAGTGCACTCTGGGTTTTCTACTCCTACTGCCGTACGGATCTGGCCTGCTAGGCTATGTCTGCACTGGCGGGTTCTTGCACAAGAACACGTCCACACTGCCATGTTGCTTTTGCGCAACAGCGCCCATGGAAGGGTGGACGCTCTCTTGCTCAAGAAGGCTCCAATGGCCATTTTAGCCATAGCAGTTTCTTGCGCAAGAAATCCCTGCCGAGTGTCCACACTGCCCTCTTGCGCAAGAGAGCTCACCCGTTAGAACAGAGCGTAGCTCTTGCGCAAGAAGCCCTGTCTGCCGAGGCCAGACTGTAAACCATCTGCGCAAGAGCGGGTGGGCAGTGTGGACGCTCTGCGGGTTCTTGCGCAAGAACCCGCCAGTGTAGACCTAGCCTTGCGTCTTCACATCTGGGGCACAATAAAGTGGAGACTGATGGCCGCTGTACTGTGTGCGCCTGCGCGATGCATCAACTCAGTGGCAGCAAATCCTAGCGCAGCTCTCGAGCAGGTGTTACCCGTGGGAATGTTTGTTTTTTAAAAGGAAAACTCCAGTTGTCCAGCACTGCTTGAACGCTGCGAGCCGGAAAGCGTTGCAGGGCGTGTGCTGTGGCTCAGAGCCCAGGCCCTTAAAGGACAGAAGCCAAACGGGGGAAATGAGGTCGTCTTTTGAAGTTCACATTACAACGCACTGTCTTTTGTAGTGGGATGAAGCTCTGCTGACGATGAGTAAAGGGGAGAAGGCTCATCTGGAAATAGAACCGGAATGGGCGTATGGCAAGAAAGGGCAGCCTGACGCCAAGTATCCTTTCACTCGAAAACACGACCGGCACGGGCCGCATCTCTTGAGAACGTGCTTGTTGCGCGTAACGGCTCCTTGCGGCAAGGTGGTTCCCTCTGGAAACCCGTGAGCGAGGCACAGCCGGATTTCTGGCCGGGTGAACGTTGGCAACGCGGTGTCTGACTTACCGGACAGGACTCGCTCGCGCTTGTTTCAGAGGTCGCTTCTTTCAATGGGCCGGGTGGGCCCTTAGTCATAGAATCATAGAACTGGAAGAGACCTCAGGAGGTCAAGTCCAGCCCCCTGCTCTAGGCAGGACCAATCCCAACTAGATCAACCCGGTCCCAGTCTGGCCGTTCTAAACAGTTGGGGAGAGCTCTGCTGCCGTTGCAGCAACAGCAGTTCAGAGAAGGGGTCTGCACACGTTCCAGGATAGGCCTGGAGGGAGGACGT